CTGTTGGGACTAGAAACTAAGAACTGATTTTTTGCTTTGGAAGGGAAACTTTGTAATCGTTTAAATTTAAGTTTCCAATTTTTCGGGGTTAGGGTAACTAAATATGGTCTAAAAACCAGAATATCCACTTTTTAAGTATGTGTATGTGGTCTTTTTTTTTCAAAATTTTCGATTGAATAATGTTTAAAAAATTAACGTTGCATAATTCTAAAAAAATTGGCACAAAAAACAAACGGAACTTTTCAATAGAATTCTTATACAGTTTCAATAGAATATCCATAGATACAAGTAACAGGTCCACTGAACTTCCAAGGAATTCTGTCATTGAAAATTCATAATTTCATGGAAATATTCGTGGGAACTGTAAATTTCAGATTCTAAATTGACTTTTTCAATTGAAGTGCATAACACATTATAATGACATTAGAACAACATAATTGCTAAGATTCCGAAAAAACAATTATTTCCAACAGAAGAATTTTTTCCCACGTTAAGATATATCCCTAGAAAACGGGTTTTTCTTGAAGTTGTCCCCAGGTTTTTCATAGATAATGTTTATAATAGTCCTCAGTTATTTAAATAAATTCTAACTAGCTGTACTACACAGTTTAGGAGACAATAAATAACGAAATGCAGGCACCTAACACGCGAGGCACAAGTCAAACGGCGGTTATGCCCCCCCCCCGAACTCGATTTTTCCCTCTTATGAAAATACGATTTTTACGATGTTTTTAAAAAACTAATCCGTCATAAATTGATAAATTCAGAAAACAGTGGATTTTTTATAGAATTTTGTACTACATAGTTTCTACAATATCCAACTCTAAAGAACGGAAATTTCATGAAAGCATTTCTTATTTGATTCGAACAGTTATTGTTGCCTGCATCAACATATGAGAATAGAAAAACTCAATAACTTCCGAGAATGCAATAAATTAAGTCATTTGAAATTCTTCCCGGAAATCCATAGGGACTACCTTTTGGGGGTTGTTGTCTTGGGATATACCTTAAATGAAATGGGCCGTCACGCAACGTTGCCGAAAACTCGCTAAACGTGCCCGGGCAATGTAGAGTAAATTTGGCAACGTTAAAGCCTAAATAACATGGCGGCACATTCCCGCGGAAGTGACCAAACTCACTGGGTCACATTGAGTGATCCGACTAGGGTTAAATAAAATCTCTGGAGAATTTATGAGAAAATCCTTATTTAAAATATACAAACAGGTCATGACGTCGTTTCTCGATATTTGTGTGATACAAATATCGAATCGATGTCGCATATGTCTTGAAAATCTGTCGCCTGCTTTGTCTATTCTCACGTCTATTTAAAATAAATACGAGAAAAATTAACGTGCTACCCGATAAAATTGCCAACTTGCGCTTTTCTTTCCGTGCTAGAATATTTCGTACTTAAATATTCTCCTGATGAAATTCTCTCCATTTGTTTTTCGTATGAAGCACATCGCTGAAAATATTCAATCACATTTATCATAATTTTTTAATAATTCACAATTAGAATTGTCATTTATCAACAATATACAGAATTGTCATTTATCAACAATATACAACAACTTCCGGGTAATTAATGAAGTCGAGCCACAATGACAAGGACAAATGAGAATTTAATTTCCGTAAAATGATAAGTATGAAGCAGGTCTCAGCAGCTAGCTTCATTCAGTCACTGTTTTCGATTGCAGCATCACACGAAGGTAGTTTTTTTCTCTTCTGATCATCTCTTTCAAACATTCCGCCCGGTGTGTTGTAGATATATCTTTTCAATCACAAAAAGTGTAGAAAAATTCGCGGAGAGTTTCACTGCAATTCCAAGAAATTTGGTCTTTGAAAATTTACAATTTGATTATAGTAGAATGAATGTAGATTGTCAATTTAACTTCAGTTAATCCATGAGAATTAATAAAAATCTGGAAAATTCAAGGAAATGTATTCGTCGATTTTCAATTGATTGAAAATTCAAGTAAGTTGTGGAATCGTCGTCTTCCTACTGCACAAATATTTTTAATTCCATTGAATTTTCAATGGTAGTGCCGCGAGAGACTTCACGAGACAATCCTGTGGAAAGATGGTTTTGGTCTTAATGAACATGAAAATCTTTGGTCTCGCTTCAGTTTCGAGAAACGCAGTATCGACTTTTCTCGGGATGACTCCGAGTCAATTTATCTCATCTCGGTCTCAAGTTTTTCGTATTTTTTAATGGAAAATTTCAGTTTTTTTCTCGGTTTGTCACATCTCGGTCTTCTACGTTTAAAAAAATGCGAAAAACTGGAAACCGAGATGAGATAAATTGACTCGGATTCATCACGAGAAGAATCCATATTGCGTATTTCGAGACTGAGACGAGACCAAAAATTTCCGTGTTCACTGAGAGCGGGACAATCCCTCCGAAGTATTGTCTCATGTCTCTCGCGGCATCACTAATAAATCACTAGGTAAATTTGAAATTCCATGATTTCCCTATTCATCTAAACTGAATTTAATAACAGAAATCATTTTCGACCGGTATATTCATATTCTGTCTTATCCCTGGGTTACACTGAGAGAAATGTTCAGTAAAAATTACGGAACTCACAATTCGCTCACCGATTACGGAATCGACTCAGAAAATTTAAGTTACGGTATCGTAGTGGTTCACAGGAGATTCAGATTAAAATTATGGAACGCTCTGGAAAAATTCCGTGACAGTTCCATAACATTTCGTACAACCACATTTCGCTCCGGAATTACGGAAAAGATACGTAATTTTTATTAAATATTTCTCTCCGTGTATTTTACTCGGTCGAATCTTAGATGTTTTAAGGTCTAAAATGGCTTGGAAGGCAGGATGCTATATAAAAATATGGAATTGAATATGAATATACCGGTCAAAAATAAGTTCTTTCATTGTAATGAATAACTGGCTATAAACGGGAAGGACGAGGGTGTAGGAATAATATACGATATGCACAATTTCCGAAATTCGGAGAGGCGGAGGAGGTCTCGGTAGCTCAATTGGCAGAGTACCAGTCTAAACTAGTTTTTAAGGTATGTAAATATGAAACAAACGATTGTTTTTTTTTTTTTATAAAAAATTTTGTTGTGAAATAAAAAGCAGAGCACCAGTCGGACAAACTGGAGATATGGGATCATACACTGAGAAAAAAACAAAAACACGTTCTCAAATAACTCTGGTTTGGCCAACAGAATCGCTAGTTGAAAATTGCCAAAAAAGAAGTTGTTCGGTTTGAATTTCAGTCTCAAACTTGAATAATTGCTCTGCTTTCGACAACAATGAAGTGTTTGACTCAAGAGGTGGATAATTCACACGAGGCGGTGCCTTTCCAGGATGAAAATATCTCATATACACTGTTAAAAATTTTTGTCTGAAATTTCCGGTACACTTTTCGTAAATTTTTATCGAATTTAAGTACTACTGAAATTTCAGAGAATTTCGTCATTGAAAATACACAATTTCGTAGAAAAATGAAAGAACTGAACAGTAAATTTCACTTGCATTTTTCCCTGAAATTGAGTAGAAAACCAGAAAATTTCGGTGAATATATTTTTGAATTTTCAGGACAGTGACACTGACAGCGATTTAGAAGGATAAAAATCATAAAATTTCGGATTTCACTGAAAATTCAATGTAATTTAGTACTGAATATTCATATTAGATTGGGAATTCAAATAAATTAAGGAATTCTCGTCTTTATGCCCCTTAAAATTCTGAAATTTTACTGAATTTTCAGTGAAACCTGAAATTTCATGATTTTTTCCCCTAAATCGCAGTCAGTGTCACTGTCCTGAAAATTAGTAGTCAACTGTCCATGAAATTTTTTTTTTTCTAACAGTGTGCCTCCGAATTTTTTAATTTGTGCATTGACAATTATTGGATTGTTTCCCTCGTATAGAGTTTCGGAAAGTTGCAAAATACCATATAGGATGCTGCTTTCCATGTAATTTATACCTTAAGGATATCCAAGCATCTTTTATAGTTTGGTACAGACCACACTATAGATTGAATTATTTTCAGTCATCAAATTTGTCAATCAAATTGCGTGAGAAAAGTTTGAAAAAAATCATGAATATTCAGTGTCATTCAAATTTCATTTTGCACAGAATTATTATTTTTTAAACATTCGTTGTTTATAAATGAATAATTAAAATTGTTTAAACTTCCGGAAACCTTTCTTTTTAGGCATGAAATCGATTTATGATAAAATTCTGAATATGAATAAATTTATTACGATTCCGAACAAATGATTTTTATGGTAGAAAATTCATTGTTTATAAATTATTTACAGAAAAGGCTCATAATTTTCAAAAATTGCAACTTTTTAATTATTTCATCAACCTTCCTCCAAAAGTAAACTTTCTAAAATTTCTTCAGATTTTTATAATGTTTTCTAAGAGTTCAATATCAAGATTCAAATTCAGACCTGCAAAGTTTAAATAATAAAATCTTTGTAAAATGTCCGGAAACTTAGGGTCAAGTGGGGCTCAAATGAAAGCTGTGAGGCTCGGCTACAAAAGTAGAAAAGCATTTCACTGGAGAAAAACTAGTCAAAGTACTTGGATATCCTTAAAACATCTAAGATGTGAGCGAGTAAAAAGCCCGTTGAATTTAATGGCGCTCTCCTAGAAATCACTACAGAATTATTCATGGGATTTCAATGTTTTTTACAATGCTTATAAAACTGCTCGTTACGGTTTTGCTACATATTGCATGACTTAGAAGTTTTTCTAATCCACATACGTGTTCTTACTCAAATTAATTCACTTGCAGTGGACTCTAATTCGTTGAAGTGGTTTTGTTACATTATTCATGGAATATCCACTTACTTCTCCCGCTATTGAAGTTGTTTACCGTTGCAGTTGATGTGTTCCACACATCAATTGTTGGATTGATTCAATCCAATAATAAATTATCAACTGGGATTGGATATCTCCAATCTACATTTAATGATTCCGTTTTTGCATGAGGAATTCCTGCAATAATTGCACAGATTATTTTTCCTTTCAGAATATCAAAGTTATTCCAAATACTTGATTAAGGAGTGCGAATCTGAATCAAATGTGTATCTGAGCGGTTCCCACGAGACCTTGTATTCGAAATTTATGAATATTAGGGAGTTTTTTCAACAGAAGTAGTGGAGTGGAACAGTCTTCGTGAAGGAAACCATGGGTTATCCCACATCTAAAAATGAGCAAACACAACTGTATAGATATAATTTCCTGGTGGTGCTATGGTTTTCGATGATATTTAGGATAGCTGATGGAATCAATTTATCCGATGTAACGCAATATACACTGCCAGCATATGCGATTGCAAGTAGAGCGGAGTTACTGCCTCGATCGAGTCTGTGTCACCAAGAGTTGAAACTCTTCAAAGAAGCAGTCGATAATCGTACACTATGGAGCTTACGGAGTAAGTACCAACTTCTAAAAAATAAGTTTCGTCAGCTAAGAAGCATGGCATATTTCAAAGTTAATAACGTTCGGAATAGATCTGCGTGCACTTGTTTTCGACTTTGAAGCGACTTCCTCATATATAGGCTAGTAAATCGGATGTAAATTTCTTCTTTGGTTATTTCATGTCGCAGAGAAAATGTTTTTAGGTTCCACAACTACGTTATTGACTTCAAGAGACTCGGTGTTTTGGAAGGCTTTGTAGTAAGATTCTAAGAATGAGTACTGTAAAAAATTTGGTGTTAAATTGACATCGATCGGTGTCCCAATGAGTCCACACCGTTTTTGGTGTGGAGTTGCGGTGTTAAAATTACATCGCACCATAGGACATCGCATGTAAAATCTGGTGTTAATTCAACACCAAACGGTGCCCCAAAAAGTCCACACCGGATTTTTTACTAACTGTTTACTTAATTTCAAACGAAAAATCGCTGAAATTCAAGTGAGAGAACTTTGTAAATCATGAACCGGGGTTAAGAGTACATTATGTCCCAAATACGTGACGAGGAAAACAACTTTTGAGCTTTCATATTTTCAAGTATTATAATACATAAACATATATAATACACATACATGCCGTTGTGGGCTTCGTACAACTTTTTCGTAATTGCATTTCATCATATGTCACCATACACAGTACATAGCCGAATAAATAAATAAATGAATTCATACATGTATAACTAAATAAAACGTAATTCTCATCTTCTATCAATTAATAATGTAAATAACATGGAAACTCGTCGGAAATTTTTAGGCCTGAATTTTCTATTGAAATATCCCCCATTCACACGGAATTTATCAAATTTCAGTGTTGGATTCCAGCGGACAACCAAAATCAGGTTTTTTGTACGGAAACAATTACTGGCTAGGCAGTGAACACCAATGTTACGACACATTGAACAGTGCACCTTTCGCCTTGAGTCCAAAAATATTGGAGAACAATAGTATCTATAGGAAATCAGAGGAAGAATTGGCACCATTCAAATTGAATTTTTTCGCTGTGTATATTGTACATAATAGCACATTGCAATACCACGTGAAACAACCTGATGAAGTAAGGACTCATTAGCTTTGAGGATATCACTTCACTTATAAAAAATTCACAGACATCACAGAAATTTAATGAGTTCCTTTTTAAATTTACCCTGGAAAAGAAACATTTCGCAATTCAATCAGTCAATGGTTCTTTGAATTATGAATCCTATTCTACCGTAAGAATAAAAATATTTCAGGGAGAAAAAAATTGGAGAAAAATTACCAAACAAGTCATGTAATTGTGTCTTTTTCACCCTATATCGGAGCAAAAATGGAAGAAAATAGTGAATTTTAAACGGGCCGGTGATTTCTGCCGCAAGTGAAAAATGTACCATTCATGGTATCAAAAATTATCCCATGAATGTGAACGATTGCTCAGTATTGCGTAACCATTCACATATGTGGAGGAATTTTTCTATGACAGAAAAAGATATTTTTTACCAAACGCAGTATGGAAAAATTTCACTTTTGTCAGTTCCTACACTGTTAGAAATTTCTTGAAAATTCAGTCACCGCTTCATCTGAATTCTCCGAGGGGCTACTCACTCTCGAAATCACGGTGCCACTTTGGCATGAAATCATTTTAAATCATTCCGAAATCACGTGAAATCACCGAAATCACTGAAATCAAGTGAATTCAGCTCTCCGAAATCATTTTCGAAATCACGTGAAATTGTCTGAAATCAATGGAATCACCGAAATCAGTGGCGCACTGGCGTAGTGCGAACCGTGCAAGTAATTCGTGATTTTGAAATTGACACGCCTGCCAATGATGATAATAAAATGCCGTACTCACTGCCCCACTAAAATGGTAAAATGGATCGCTTTTCATCGTCATTACACTGAGAAAAAAATATCTTTTTACCAAATATTCATTTACTCGAGAGAAGTATTTATTTTTTCAAAATCGTATTTCTCCAATCGAATCACTCCCAGGCGAGCCTAATTAGGTTTCAATTATGACAATCATGTTGCTCTAGAGGATGACTATGTTGAACATAACCTTGGATAAACTTCTCCAATGATTTTTCATTTTTCCTAAATTTCTTATTTTCTACAGGGAAGAATTTCAATTAATTTTTCAATGTTTATAATTATTGAGGGAGTTCACTCAAGGTTTTAACTACCATGATCATCTTCTAGAGCAACATAATTGTCGTAATTGAAACCTAACGAGAATTGCCTGCGAATGACTCGACTGGAGAAATATGGTATTGAAAAAATAAATACTTAGCTCAAGAAAATGGATATTTGGCAAAATCTATATTTTTTCTCAGTGTAGCTCAAGATTGGTGGAGTTGAATCAAACGATTTTCATAGTTTGACACGACGTTTTTTGCCCCCCCTCTATTATTTATTAGCTTTATTTTTCTGAAATCACTGATTTCGAGTTAATGAAATCATTCGAAATCACGAAATCACCTCCCGAGACGCTCGAAATCACCCGAAATCGATTTCATTTCGAAATCATGGCGTCACTCAATTATGGAGCCCCTCGGAATTCTCAATGTTGTGAGTGTGAATTCAATTTCAAATGAAAATATTCATAAAATTTCTCATTCATCTTGAAAATTAAAAAAAGTTGGGTTTTCTATGCTAAGCGATCATTGATATTTCAAAGAAAGATAAAATTTTCAAGCGACTGAACTTCTAATACATTGAGAATTCAGTAAAGTTTTCGCCTGAATTTTCCCCATTTTCCAGTGCCGCATGGATCTGGAAATCGAGAATTACTTGAATATTTTAAGAAATTAACTAATAATTAACTAATAATTAACTAATTTGTCAGTGAAGAAATATACAGAAATTTCATGTAACTTTATAGTTGTTCAAAATTTCAAGCTTTTTCACGTGAAATTTCAAGAGTAATTTTCTAACAGTGCATCTTCTTCACAGTGGCGCCAGAAAAAAATACCCTACCCTATTTTTGCACCCATAGATGTGGTTTTTTTATCGAACCTGACAAACGTAATTTTATAATCCGAGCCGAAGGCGAGGATTATAATCACATAAGTCAGCTAATACCTTTATCGCTGTGTGACATACAATATTCTATGTCAGTGGGCCCGAAAACCGCGAACCGAGTGAAACGAGGTTAGAATCGCGGTTTATCAGACCTAATGATATAAATCCCTATTTTTATTGAACTCAAATTTTGCTCCACGATTACCTTTCGTGTAGTAAAATTTGCCACGATTTTCTAATACTTTTGAATCAACTTTTCTCTCCGTGTTGAATTGAGTAAAAATAAGCTTGAATAAAGTCAAATTTTTTCGCGAGTGGATTTTATGATCGAAGCAAATTTTGAAAACTTGACATTGCATTGTTCTTTTCTGGGTAAATCTTCCTAAAAGAAAAAATAATCATCGACAAATTATAACGGTTCAGTACGGTATACGGTTTTTTAGTCATAAACTCATAAATTTTATTGTTAATAATCTTCTAAAATTTATAATAATCTAAAAAAATTGTTAGCAATCTGAGAAAATTTATCTTTTCCCTCACATTTTCTTTTGGAAAATGTGAAGCAATGGACAAGCACAAAATCCCTCAAAACCCGAACCCTTTGCGGTTTTTTCTCAGTTTAAGACATTTTGGTATTGAATATTTTCTTTCTTAGTGTGGGCTTTCGATAGTTTTGTTTGGCCTTTATCATAAGGAGGAAAATATGAACGAAAAATAACTGCAAAATCTAGGTAATCCGAGAGCGAAATTGTATTGCAGGAACTTGCATTTCAAATGAAGGAAAAAATGGGAAGCAAAGGATAAATATTCTCCTTTGTAACGTAATTTTTCGCAAATGAACATTAACAGTCCAATTTGTTATTTATTGATAAAAAGTACCAGAAGGATCGTACACTATTCAGTAATTCTGACTGCATTTTTCATGCTATTTGCCGCCAATTTTTTTGTCAGTGCACTTTGCTACTGAATTAATGCCGAATATCTACACGGGATTATACATGAAAGTCAATTTGCTCTGTAAATTTTCATAAAGGGAATCTGATATTATCATTCATAACCGAAAATTTATCCTAGAATTTGATAACATTGGGATTATGTCTTCCTGCTACATGCAGTACTGGAGAATTGAGCCAAATTTTGGTAAAAATTTTTAATGAAAGGACGCTTCTAATCGGTCATCTCAATAGAATGGACTTCAAACTTCAGGAAGTGAAGAATCTCACTTATGATCTTCACCACTTTGTTAATTTCCGTATGATTTTTATGGGGTATGTAACCATTCTTTACAAGGATAAAAAAATAGAGAAAAATTACCGAACAATTCAAGTAATCGTGAAGCGAACTCGATTTTCAGTACTTTTTTGATAATACTGTTTTACGTTCACCTCGTGTCGACAAGTGCCTTTTCGTTTACTCATAAACGAAAAGTCTTTTCGTTTTCTTGTAAACGAAAAAGGCACAGTTTAGCCACTCGCTGAATGTAACATCACTGTTAAAAAATATTGTTCGATACATGAGAGACGGGAATTTTCACCTCGTGTGATTGGTATGTGATATGTGATATGTCTCACTCGTATCGAACTACACTATTTCACCCTACACTGAGAGAAAAACAAACACATTGTCAAACAAGTCTTGCTTGGGCCAACAAAATCGCTAGTTGAAAATTGTAAAAAAAAAATTTGTTTGGTTTGAATTTGAAAGCCTCATACATGAATAATTGTTCTGCTTTCGACAGCAACGAAATATTTCGCTCAAGAGGCGGATAATTCACACCAGACGGTGCCTTTTCAAGATGAAAATATCTCATATAGAGGAAAATTTATCAACAAATATTTTATCCCTAAGTTTCAAGATTGCTATCATATCATTATTATTGTTTCATATAAGGGTTCATTTCTTGTCTGTGATTATTAGACAGCCGAAACGAAAAACTCCTATCCCTTGTTCCGCATAAAACAAAGATTTTTCGGGAGCAAAATACGCATGGGAGTATCGAATAACGAAGGAGCAGTGCTAGAAATGACATTTCTTGCGTGTACAGAGAATGCAATTTTTTTTTAAGTACTAAATCTATTTTTGCGACAAAAATTTTCCATTCCGGCGCACTCTATGCATGTTTGGCATAAAAAAATAGTTTTTTGATCATTTTCAAAAAACTATTTTCTTGGCAGAAGTAAGACTTGTTTGAGAACTTTATCGTTTTTCTCTCAGTGAATTTCGGTGGGCGTAACAAAATTATTACTTTGTCTAGATTACTGATAATCATAACCATGTTGATCATCATTGTTGCAACCACCTATGACCTTTGTGTCCATCAAAAGTATTTGCGAGTAAAGGACTTGCGTGATAACTTTGGGAATAATGGTGAGAAAAAACAATAGCGATGTGATTTCACTTGCTTTTCGTAGAAGAAAAAACTGATAAAATGTCCTCCTTTTTTGTTGATAAACCATCCCATGTAGATGCTGTTTCCCACAAAGGATTATCTGAAACAACTTCGTCCAGGAAAGCCACAAAAATACTGATGTGTTTTTCGGCTTACACTAATTCCAAAGATATATTCACAATATCCAAGAAAGAGGGTTCAATTGATGCTCTCCATGGCATTAGAGTTTTAGGAATGGGGTGGATGATACTGCTGCACACGTTATTATTCGGAGAATCATTCATGGGTGAGACATGTCAAATTTTACTATGGGATGAAAGGTAACAGAATACCTGATCGAAATACATGTAAACAAAATGGAATTTGTTTTATTCAGATAATAAAACCATGGCGTATCGGATGATTCAATCATTACCATTACAAGTTCTCAGTAACGGCTCGGTGTCAGTTGATACTTTTTTCTTCATGAGTGGATTTTTATTGGCTTATACATTTCTTGAGAGTGCAAGAAAAAAGAGCGAGGATTCAAAGAATATCTCGTGGCAAATTTTTTTCCAGCGAATTATAAGAAGATACTTCAGGTGATGGCACTAAAATGAAGCCGCAAAAATATTGGGGTAATGGATCTAATGGAATTCAATTTTTTTATAACTCATTATTGGTTTCAGGCTCACTCCTCCCTATGTGATAATCATTGGCACTGCTGATATAGTTTTTTCATGGTATGGCAAAACCTCACAGTTCTACATACATGAAAGGCCTTATGAAACTTGTCCCTCATATTGGTGGAGAAATGTCTTTTACATAAATAATCTGTTCAAACGTTCAGAAATGGTGAGTTGCCGCATTTTTTCCACTTGCGATGATGGCGAAGTTCACACAGAGAAACCTAAACGTAAATTGCATTTCAGAAGTCGTCTTGTATGCTTTCTGAAGCGTATTTTACTGTTGAAGTTGAAGTGTAAATTACGTCCAAAATTGTTGTAATTTACGGTTTCGTATTTGTAAATTACGATATTTTATTCCGTATTTTACCTTTGCTTATCGGTAATTAACGACAAAGGATAAAAAGTAATTTCAAGCGTAAAATACGATTTTTTTTATAGAACACATTTCTATTAAGGATATCACGTATGAAAAAATCGTATAGGAACTTTCTATACGGATTGTGTGTAAGAATTCTATAGGATTACCATATATGATATTCGGATATTTCTATACGAATATTTTCTATACGAATTATTTCTATACATAAATATTTACATAAACTTTTGTTTTCATACAAAAGATGTCTAAACGCTCCAGAGAAAAACGTAGAGAAATGTCGCAACTCCTAACGAAATGTTTCTATACATGAGAAAGTGGGTCGTATAGGATCAAATCTATAGAAATCGTATAGAAATAATTTGTATAAAAAATATCCGTATAGAAATATCCGAATATCATATACGAAAATCCTATAGAAATTCTATACGCAATCCGTATAGAAAATTTCTATACGATTTTTTCATACGTGTATCCAAGTATCTTTTACAGTTTGGTACAGACTGTAGATTCCACCATTTTCAAGCATAAAATTTGTCAATTAAAATATGTGAGAAAAATTTGAAAAAAAATCATGAATATTCAGCGCCATTCAAATTACATTTTGCATAGAATTATTATTTTTTTTCAACATCGGTGGTTTATAAATAGAAATGATTGAAATTATTTAAACTGTCGGAAACCTAATTTTTTTAGGCATGAAATTGATTTCTGGTAAAATTCTGCATATGAATAAATTTGTTACGATTCCGAACTACTGATTTTTAGGGTGGAAAGTTTATTGTTTTCAAGTTATTTATAGCAAGTGCTCATAATTTTCAAAAATTGCAATTTTTTAATTATTTCATCAGACTTTTTTTAAAAGTAAATTTTATAATTTGTTTTCAGATTTTTTAAAATGTTTTCTAACTGCTCAATATCGAGTTTCAAATTGAGACCTGCAAACTTTAAATAATAAAATCATGGTTAAATATCCGGAAACTTGGAGTCAAATGGAGGTCAAATGAAAGCTTTGATGTTCATCTACAAAAGTAACAAAGCATTTCATTGGAGAAAAAATAACCAAAGTGCTTGGATGATTTTTTAATGCAAAATACGCTTAATGAAACAAGCGTATTTCGTTATAAACATGCTCTATTTTGGGTGTAATTTACGTTTTTATTTTAATCGTAAAACAAGTCTTTTTGAAGCCTAAATTTCGATTTTCATGACGGAAAAAAGCCACCAGACATCATATTGGCGTTAAGTGTAAATTACGTTTAGCAAACCGTAAATTACGCTTAACAAAATATAATTTACGTTTACGTTTTTCTGTGTGTTCCTTTTGATATTAAGAATAACGAAAAAAAACATGTTTCAGTGTTTATACTGGAGTTATTATCTTTCCAATGACATGCAATTCTTCATCATTGGCTCCTTTTTGCTATTTTTATCACAGAGGTAAAGTATGTTTCTTTGTTAGTTCTAATAGTCCATCTTCATTCATCGCACTTCATTAAGCGTCGTCATTTCCGGTGTTTCAGATACCATTACACAGCAGTAGGAATCTTCTCCACAATGTTCCTCGTAACTACTATTGCAGCAGGGGTCATAACTTATATGTCTGACTATGCACCTACGTAAACAAACACAAATTATACTTTTTTTGGTGTTCACGTATTCTAGAGAGACAATACAGTTAATTGATTGTTTTTGTAGTGTGGATGAGCAGCTGAATACCCTGGATATCTTCTATGATCCTCCGTGGATGCGTATCGGGCCGTACCTGGTCGGACTGGCGACCGCTTATATCTTGATCACTGTATTGAGGAAGAGATTGAATGTGAAAACGGTAATTGTATTTCTTTGTCCTACCGGCCGTAAGGCAGGGATTCACGGACGCATAGCATTATGAGAAAATAGTACATTTTGACACTAGGCCATGAGGAATTTTTGTGGCGAATATGAGGTTACAGGACGAGCCGAAGGCGAGTTCTGTAATCATATGTGGTAGAAAAGTTCCCACGGCCGTGTGGAACAATATTTTTTGTCATTAGGCCCGAAAACGGCGATTTAACCGAGCGTAGCGAGGTTAAAATCGCGGTTGATCGGGCCCAGTGACGAAAAATATTGTTCATCACACGACCGAAAAAAAATTTTCCAGTTGATTATCGCCAGAATAGTATATAGTGCTACTAGTGCGGGAAGTTCTACTTTTTTTCCCGCACGTATAACACATGCTATTTTTTGTGACACCTGCTGAGTTCGCTGTTCGGAAGAGTAGTGGGGGAAAGGAGGAAGAAAACATGAACGAAAAATGACTGCACAATCTAGGTAATCCGAGAGCGAAATTGTATTGCAGGAATTTGCATTTCAAATGAAGGAAAAAATGGGAGGCAAAAGGATAAATGTTCCCTTTTGTGACGTGATTTTTCGCAAATGGATAGTCCAATTTGTTAGTTATTGACAAAAAGTACAAGAAGGATCGTACACTATTCAGTAATTTTTCGCAAATGAACAATCCAATTTGTTAGTTATTGATAAAAAGTACAAGAAGGATCGCTCGCTGTTTTTGAAGAGTGGGGGAAAGTGGCGGTTTTTGGGCCCGAGTGAGTAAAGTTCACGAGCGTGTGAAATAGCATATTGCGATACGAGAGCGTAATAGTATCTTTCAAAGAGCAATACCAATCCCCGGATGAGGAAAAGGGAAAAGCAGTATAGAAAGAGAAATAACCAAGTCTTTTAGTAGATAAAACAACATGTTTTCGAAAAATTCGGAGAAAAATCAGGAGATCGTTCAATCCTTCTCAATACTATAAAAAATCCCTATTTACTTTCGAAAGGGCGCGGGTTAGGAGTTGATCGATTTGAAATAGAATACCTGATATTTTCTTCAATATTTCGAAAAGTAGTCAATCGATTTCAATTTTTTCCTCTCAAAATATTCGTCTCCATGCCGTTTATCGTAATTCATCACAATATGTATCGGTTCATAGCAAGTTACCAAGATATTCCCATTTTTCCGTTTTCCACTCAAAATTCTTATACGCGTAGGGGAGGGTGTGCTTGTACCGCCCACCTAAGGGAAAATGCCAGTTTTATATTTTATATTTAAATTTGAGTATAAAAAACGTATTTATGAGACTTCTTTAACTATTGAACTCGTTATTCTCGAAGTGTAGACGCCTAATTCTCCTTAGAATCCACAAAATTGATTGAAAATAAGAGAGAGAGCCTATTGAGCGGTACTACCCGCCGTCGGGTAATACCGCTCGGCACGATTCCAATGCCGCTCATAGGGTTTTGCGTGTATCGCTCGCGCCGCAACCTAACCTGTACTCGAGTGCTGTCGAGCAACTATGTGGCCGATCCTATGAGCGGTATTACCGGCTCCGCTCGGCGTCAACAAAATTGTTGATAATTATTGACACGAGTGGAGTTTTGATTTCGAATTGGTCTCAAATTACGTGTGAAAGTACCACGAATCGAATAACCACAGTTTAATATGAGAATTCAGCGTTTGAAACTATCAAAAACCTTAATTAAAAGTCCACAAATTTTGCACTGTAAAGACCTCAAAACTTCGTTACGTGTTTTTTCATATTTAAAGTGGTAAATAAAGTGAAAATTTTCCGACAATCACATCCTATCATCAAATTCTTCATGATCAGGAACAGAAAGAAATTTTTAAGTTGATGGTTGCGGAGAAAATCGGGTGAGCGGTATTACCCGCTGAGCGGTACAGACACACCCTCCCCTAATAACTTTTAAAAGAATCAAATCACATTGAATTTCAGTCATCACAAAATTCGCCGATTAATACATTTTTGTGTTTGACTTCTTAAATAAAGACGTCTTTTAGACAATAGTTTCTACAATCTAGTAGTCCAATTTTGACCACTAGTGGTGGAACTCAACAAATTAGTTTCTCCTGAAAATTATGATGACTAAAATTGTTCTTTCTCTTCGATTTGGATTTTAGAAGACTTTGTGGCTTTTCTGGTTCCTCGGTCTTTCTTGTATTGTTCTCGTACTCTTCGGTCTCTACGAAAGGCGAATACCTATTGTTCCAACATCCTTCTACATCGCTTTGTATAGAACCGTTTGGAGCCTTGGGATTGCATGGATAGTAGTGGCGTGCAGTACAAATCACGGCGGTGAGTAATCTACCAGAAATTTTGTGACATTTGAAATGTTGGTTCAATAAATTCAGTGTGGTTACGTATTTTATGCAACTTTTTCTATCCAGGTATCATTAACAGAATATTATCCTTCAAAATTTGGCAGCCATTCAGTAAATTGTCATACTGTGCCTATTTACTCAATCCGATATTGATTGCTGTTCTTCATTTAAGCAGTGAAGCGTCGCTCCATGCGGAGCTTATCCCGCTCGTAAGGATAATTTTAATTGCAATTAATGGTAGGGGAAAGTCGGGCAAAATGGGACGTTTCGTGATCTTCTCTAATGGTCAATATCTTCACTTATATGTGAAGGTATTGACAATAGGGAACTTGCATAGAGTCCACTTTTCGACTATTTTTAAATGAATAGAGTATTTATAGTCTATGAACCATTCCAGACTAAAAAGTTTTCCGAAAGGTGGTCCGGATATTTTGTAATAACTGATTAAAAATGCATCAATTTTGAATACTTTTTTTGGGGTCATGACGTCAACTTACCGGAATTAAGTTCTGCTTGCGCCTACTAGAAACGCTATTGAGGTATTCTAGCCTCTCAAAGTGCGAGAGGTTCAACCAAAACAAATCGGGGGGGTTATGTTTGAAATAATCATTAAAAGTGGGTAAAATATATATATATATATATAACTAACAAATGAAGTTTGTGCTGAAAAATGATTTTCAAAAAGCGGGCTCGGGGAATTTACCAACGGTAGATGTGACTATGTTGATAGATTTTATGGGTTTAAATCTGTATCAAAATGTCGAAAGTCGTGGTTGTATGATTTTCACTGTTGTATTTTTACATCCTGGTACAAAACAATATTTATAAGGAACTTTCATTACTCAATCCGGTTTTTTAGACATTTTGCAGTCAAATACATGAGTATTTTCCTAGATTTCAGCAGCTGTACTGAACCGCTTGACGGCGCTACACGAAAATTTCTGCCTCCGGTGAATTGACGTCACAGGCCTTTTTAGAACGTTTAAAAAATGCAATTTTTAAAAGCAAGTAAATAATTATTAAACTATTTTCCGCGTGTTTCCTTAACAAATATGAGTTCTTGGGGGCAGATATTTGAGAATAAAAAATAGAAAAAACATGCAAGTTTCCTATTGGAAAAGATAATACGTCCCATTTTATCCGATCCTCCCTTAATAGTTCAATTTTCATCAGCACATGGATAAAAAAACCCAAATGTGGCTTTTCATTGCGGAATCAGGGATATGCAGTATCCTTAATCGAGAGTAAAATATACCGTATCCCCGATTAGAGAGTATAATGTACTAGATTGAGAACTATATATTGTATATTTGAATAAAGAATATTTGATTCTCTATTCAGGATTATGCATATACCTGATTTTTCCGTGCATTGTGTAATTAATGTTTACTTTTTAGGCATACGTTGCCTTCGGCGTTTTCGTCATATCGTATCTGGGTGCCTATTGTCTATCGGTGATGTTTGAGCTACCATTTTTTTTACTCGTGAACATTTATTTCGACAAAAAAACCAAGGGAAAAAATTGACCACCGATGAATAACATAGCTTCAAAGAATTTTATCATGGAATATTTGAAATATACGAACATCAAGATTGTAATTATTGGAATCCTTGAAATAAATTAAGCTAAACTTTATATTATGAGTATGATTTATTAACGGGAAAGGGTCCTCCATCCACCCTTTTTTGGGAATTGACAAGAATCTATTAATTTCAGTAACACCTACTTCGTACATATGCATCACCACCGAAAATTAAGGGGATGTAAGGATATTTTTTAGTAGTCTTGAATATATGAAAAAATTTGGGCAATTCGCTGAAATCGCATACTCGAATCTAAGCTCAATATTTTGGACAGTGCTTCTTTTTGCCCTGTGTATAATTCATGGTGCAGAATGATATTGTATCGCTATAACAGAATTTCCCCTTCCATTGATCGAAGATCATGTGATTCAATGAACTTTTGAAGATTTCAAATTAAAATTGAAAACACACAGAGAAAACCGAACGAAAATTACGTTTAAGAGGTCGTGTCTTTGACGCTTTTTGAAGCGTATTTTACGCTTGAATTTGAAGCGTAAATTACGCTCAAAATCGCCGTAAATGGCGATTACATAAATACAATTTCGGGTTTTATATTCGTACATTACGATTCCATAAACGTAATTTATGGTTTCATATTCGTAAATTAAGATGATTTGTTCTGTATTTTATGTTTACGTATCCGTAATTTCAAAGTTATTTTGAGCATAAAATAACGTATCTTTTTTGAAAATTATGCATAAGTCAATCGTAAAATACGTTTCTATTAAGATCGTAATTTACGATTTCTTAAACGTGAAATACATTACGTTTTTATTTTGACCATAAATGACGCCTTTTTGAAGCTTTTCATAACGGAAAAAAACCACCAAATATCATATTGCCGATAAGCGAACAATTGGGTTTAGCAAACCGTAAATTACGCTTAGCAAAACGTAATTTACGTTTAGGTTTTTCTATGTGGCATTGTCTTTAATCGTGAACTTTATCCATTTTCCGACGATAATGGTAATTTTCTGCCGCAAGACATTCCCATAACACAAAATGAAAAATGAAACTTGAAAAGTTAATTCCACCGTATTCATCACTTTTTTCTGGCAATTCAATACTTGTTTCGAGAACTTTGAAAATTTGCGGTGAAAATCCTATTGCAAAATTTCGTCATTGGATACAGTTCAGTCATACATTTTCTTGAACATTCCTTTTTCTCGGATGTCAGCCAATCAGAGAGCAGTATTCGAGGCTGACATCTGAATAAAAGAAATATTCCAACAAATACCACTCGTGCCTCAAAGCTATCGGTTATTTTCACCAAATTCTTCTACATAGAAAAAATGTGCCATATCTCGCACAAAAATTTTTAATCTACAAAATTGCTATACAACGAAGTTATCGGAAATGGAGTGGCTATTTGCACCAGACACGGAAGGATCCGTGTGCCCACCCGTGACTGCATTAGTCCTGGGACAGATACGTTCGAATGTGGGTGGAGGAGGGGGGCGGGGGGGGGTGTACACTGATACGCTTACGGCTGATGCAAATCGCCACTCCGTATTGGAACATAACCGCAAATTTTGGAGCGCTCGTGGTATTCCTACTGGTCACCATTGAATGTTCAATTTTTCATGATTTCATTAATAATTTATCTTAATAACAATGTTGGGAAGTGTTGAAGATACGTGTGAAACGTCATTCTATCGTTTAAGGACCGATTAAATGAGTGAGAAATAGCTTTCATCACAACATAATCAATATATTTTTGCAAATAAATTATCAATTTAAATTGAATTGAATGATTCATGGAATTTTCATATCACTTTCAATTACTCAATGTATTCTCATTTAATTCATCACATGAACAACTCGTGATGATGAATCGAATTTTCTCCGATAAATTTCGATTGAACATTACAATGAATATCAGATATTCTCAATTTTCTCTAATCCGAGAATTACCCAATGTCATGAAAATTTTTTATTTCTCCCTGAATATTGCTTGCAAAATAAATTTTTTCAACAGATGGTGCAATCAATCTCATGATCGAACTCGGTCAAGATGGCATTCGGAAGAATATTTGAAATCACAGTTGGATTAATTGTTTTAAATCATAATTGGATGAATTTAAACAATTATTCTTCCTATATTTGACACAAAAAATTGAAAATTTCGGATTCGACAAATACAGTATAGATTTTGTCTGATATACATACAGTATTTTGTCATTGGGCCCGAAATTGTGGTTTATCGGGGCTAGTGATATAAATGGAAATTTCGTAAAATCATTTTCTTATTTAATTCAAACAATTAATCAACAAATAATTTTTTATCTGATTCAAACAATTATTGTTGCCTTCATCGACTACACATGAGGATCGAAAAACTCAATAACTTAAGAGAATGCAATAAATTCAGTCATTTAGATTTTTTTTCCGGGAATTCATGAGGACTAACTTTTCGGTGGTATTGTTTTGGGATTTACCTTAAGTGATCGAGAAGTCCCTGTTCGTACGTCGACGGTTTGGCTGCGGAAAAAGAGCAATAGAGCGAGAGAGAATCTATCTGTGCGGAGTGCTAACTCCCGAAAACATGGTACCACTCTGTGATGAAATCAATCCGAAGTCACGTTGAAATTACATGAAATCGTTGAAATAACCGAAATCGCTGAAATCAGGTGATTTCAACTCTCTGAAATCATTTCCGAAAACACGCTGAAGTCTTGAAATCATGCCGAAGTCATTTACAATTAATAAATGTTTTGTAAGAGAATGGGACGACCTTTATTCATCGTGATTTCAATTATTTATTTCATCGCCTCTGAAATCACTGAGTTCGAATCTATGAATCATTCAAAGTCAATTGCAGTCACGAATCATATCGCGATTCACTCGAAGTCAGCGATTTCATGTCTTCCCGAAATCCCTTAAATCAATCGCAAAATCTCTGAAATCAACCCTGAAATCATGTGAAGTCGACTTCATTTCGAAATCATGATTTTTTTTATACATTCTTTGATTTTTTCAAAAACCCAGATAGCCTAAGAGAATGGGTGAAATAGGAATTTTTCTAAAAGATGCATTTTAACATGGGTTCTTATGGGAATTCGGAAAAAAAATATTAAAAATAGTAAAAAAATCGCCATTTTCCTGAAATTTCGCACTTGAGTGGAGCTTTCCGGAAGAAACATAAAGAAAATAATCCAAGTAGCTTAGGAGAATTGTTTAGAAGGGATAATTAAAGACCTCATGAAAAATAGAAATTCTACGTGCGCAACTTGGAATAGCGACAACGCCGAGATTAGAAATCGGNACGAATGGAATTGTGATGGTACATTTCGCTATGGGAAGGAACATAACAGCTGAATGAATCAGTGCTGCCATCTTGTACCTCGAATGGCACGACGTTGTCACTTTTTCTATCCATATTAATTACTTTCCGATTATCCAAAAGACAAGTTGAAAAATAAAAGAAGGTTTGACATATGTGGGAAAAAATATAAAACTTAATAAAAAAATATTTCAAACACAAAAATGGTCGAAATAGATTGAAAATTTGTAATTGAAGTATCGCTTTTTTTGTTCATCCATTGGTTTTCTGCGAAAGAACAATAGATTCCCTTCCGTCTCACCTCCTACGCCCATCCCGTCATAAATACCTTAACGGTGAGGGAAGTCAACTTCCCGAACTAATTGAAATCTTAGAGAAGAAAAATCATAGGGAGTATCCACTGTATTCCACCTGAATGGTTTTATATTGGATATTACGATGTCATTTGCTTAGTCCAATAATATATTATTCCATCTATCTTGCTATAAATCCACTGCAGAGAGATGTTTCTCGGATCAGGAATGTATATTTCAACCGACAGTTTATTTCTTTCCTTCAGTGCATATTTGCTTCAGTTGTAAAATTCTACGCGAAAGGCAAAATCCATTTACAGTGGAAATAATACGATGGAAGCAATGTCCAAATAGTTTTCTATTTTTCCCCCGCAAGAAAAACTAGTAACTCTGAAATTGAGTGATTTCGAAGGATGCCATTAAGCCAAAAAGGTGTATTGATTACAACGGTATATGGTATACTAGCAATAAATATAACCAATCGCATCGTACTGGCTCGTTACGAGGTCCCGGGTCATTGGGAAGTGCAAAAAGAAACATGAAACAGAATGGGTGAACACAGAATGGCCCCGCGGGCGTAATCCCTGTTCGTAAATCTCGATTTACCGTCCATTCGCGGAGGGAAGACGACCCGAGCATGTATTCCAAAACTTATAATCGATTGTCCCCCGGGAGGACCATCGTGTAAAAAATATCGGCTGGTGAATTGAATTCCAGGGAAGAGAATTAGGTGCTCCAATTGCTTTGATTGTTTATACGAGGCGAAATTATTAATCATTGAATAATCGATGGAAAAGGGTTTGTTCAATCCTTTGTTTAACATTCATTATCAAATTAATGTAGATATTGAATAATTGTTGATTCTCGGAAACATTCGCTCTGATAAATTGAGTCATTATGATCGAAGTGAAGTACCTAGTTCAGGGGGGAAACTGAGGGAATTTATCAGCAATGCGTCGTCCGGTGATTTCAAGTATTGACAGTTCGTTAATTTCCCAGCGTAATTAATTGAGCCCTTTTATAATGTAAATTATTCATCGAATATACGTTGCATCTCACTTCCATAAGAAAGTTATTTAACAATGGTCAAGATCATTAATTCACAACAGTCGAATAAAACATTTCTAATATAAATAAAAAAAATATAAGTAAAAAAACCGTAGTAATAGTTTTGAAAAAGTCATATGTAAATTAACCCTAGTTTGTCACTCTACGCGACCCAGTGATTTGGTCATCTCTGCAGGAATATGCCGCCGTATTATTAGGTTGTCGAATTTACTCTACACGGCCCGGACGCGTTCAGCGAGTTTCCGGAAACGTTGCGTGAAGGGCCTTTTCAGTTAATATGCGGGAAAAAAATTCTTCTGTTGGAAATAATTTATTTTCTTTTGGAATTTTTGAAATTATGTTGTTCTAAAACCACTATAATTGCTATACACACTGTTAGAAATGTTTGGAAATTTCATGGAAGATATT